AGTTTGCACCTGTGAGAGCATGAGCCAGTGGTGCAACAGACTGCATTTTATTTTAAAATGAAAAGTATTTATGTGCAGGAGGGGACTGATGCATAGAAGTTAATCCCAATTAGTTAGCATGATCTGGTGGTAGGTAGTTCAAGTGCATTCAGATCAACAAGAGTTTCCTTAATGAGAGTGCTGGACATTTAAGGTGTTACATAAAGCTTCCTTCACTCTCTTGTTTGATATTTTTAGTCGTCATATGTGATTTTGAGTGTTTATTTTACATTTCTGAGATTTTAGGATTCTTTTAACTTGCGGATTCACACATCTCAGGAGACTAAACATCATTTACCACAAAAATGTAACGCACATGCTTCCAGCATCAGTCATAACCATGCCTTCTATTTAAGGAGTCACTGGTGTCTTATATTAGTAATTAAGAAATGAAATGACACCAGTAAAAACAACAAACAGTAACAAAACCTGCATAAGCTTACAGTTATGTTATCCATGTTGAATAGTTACATTTTAAGACTCAATCCAAAAAGGAATCCATTTGAAAAGTATTTTATGGAGTGTGTGTCTTTATTTAGTAATTTTGGAAGCTACTCTGTGCTGAATTAGTCACGTCCCTCAGTCTCTCTTGTCACCAAGAGCTTGCAGTTTCAAAGTTGGAGGGTGTGCAGGCTCTCAAGCAGTTGCTGTCTTCAGTTTGCCTGGGACTTTAAACCTGACTGTGACCACGTTCCAACCAGAAGCTGACTTGCCACCGCACGTGGTTTTAGGTGTTGTACCTGCTCCCCCCCAGTAATTAGAAGGCTTCGGGCAGGAAAATTTTACTTAGATATAGTGTATGTCTCTAAGGAGCCTTATATGCAAGGGGTCCGGCTGTGTTCATTCACGGATCAGGGCGAGAGTCCACATGCTAACTGGAGCGTCTGGCTGGAAGGCGAGCCCAGGACTGGGCACTGCTCGGAGACCCCAGTAAGGAGGCTGCTGGCGCATGGAAGTCCGGCTGTCGATTCAAGCTTGTCTGGGCCCAGAGAAGGAAATCGAGGTTAGGACTAGGGAGTTTAAGTCTTGACGCCTCGACTTGAAGGAGGCTGAGGGGAGACAGGGTCGGTGGCAGGCTGTGACCACGAGGCCCCGGGGAAGGGGCCTAGGTGACAGTGAGCACGTGCGTGTGCGAGGCTCTGTCCCTGGTGACACTCCCAGGCCACCCTTGGGTGGGCTCCCGCCTGCCCTGGAGAAGTGGGTACAAGGTTTGGGTAGCTGCCCAGCTGAGAAAGACACTGAGAATCAGATCTGAGGCTCCAGCCCAGCCTTGTGGAGCGACTGCAGACCCTGCGCCGTCTCTCTGGGGCTTTGTGAGAACCTCGGTCAGGCCTGGGGCTTCCCTGCTGGCTCAGTGGTGGAGAACCCATCTGCCAATGCAGGAGACTCAGGTCCAGTCCCTGGACTAGGAAGACCCGCTGGAGAAGGGAATGGCAACTCACTCCGGTGTTCTTGCCTGGAGAGTCCCATGGACAGAGAGGCCCGCTGGGCTACAGTGTGTGGGGTCGCAGAAGGGTCTTACGCAACTTAGTGACCAGAGTGCCATCACCGCCAGGTCGAGCCTCAGCCGGCAGTGTTCACGGCTTCCCGTCTGACCCCAGCAGGGACAGTGGATTAGCACTTGTCTCCCATCCTGGCGGGGGTGCAAGGCGAGTCTCTGTCTCACCCATTGGAAACTGCTAGGGCAGAGGGAGTTCTTTCAGCTATGTTCACCTGTTTAGTAAATACTTCCTGCCTGTTTCATGTCACGCTGTCTTCGTGGCATCTGGATACAAAGATCAAGCTTGGTTTCTGCCTTTGAGAAGCTGTGCTTGGAGGGAGAAATAGACACATGTAAACAAATAATTAAAATCCAGTGAGACCGGAACCCAGCCGGGTGCCTGAGCTTGCACAGCTGTCTGCAGAGCTGGCTGCTGCTGGAGACGGCAGGCCCAGGGCAGGGCCCCTGAGAAGGCCGTCGGGTGGGTCTCCACGGTGAGCAGAGGTGGGCCGGGCGTGCAGAGCGCCGGTCCCCAGGAGGCCGGGCCAGGTGGATGCTGTGCATGGAGGGGTGAGCTGCCACTGGACTTGGCGGCAGACGGGGAGGGTGGTGGGGCAGCTGGGGCATGTGTGGGGTCACTGTGAGACCCCCTGCTTCCGGTGTCGCTGGGCGTCAGTGTGTGATGGAAGAGACAGAGTGCCGTTTTACTTTCATAAAGGCTGAAGATCCTTTAAACGAATGACATCTTTCCAGAAGTCATTTCATGCGGCTCAGACACACAGCCTGGTCATTCACACAGTGCTCTTTACCCGGGACATAACTCACCCACACGCAGTGGGGCACTGGCCACAGCGTCCGAGCATCACCACCCAGGTGTGTGTGACACCTGCCCGGCCACGCCTTGAAGGAGACCACCCGGCGCCCAGGCTGACCTTTCTGCAGATGGGCAGCGGCCCGAGCCTCGGGGCGGGGGTGCGGGAGAGCAGCCCGGCTCCGCCTCATGTCTGCCCCGCGCGTCTACGCCGGGCGACAGGACACAGGAGCGGATGAGACAGGCTGTCAGTCAGCCGCGCTGCCCTTTGAAGAAAGGCCACGGGGGGGAAGGGTGCCGCAAATGGGCTGTGAGTTTACATACACTGCCCACTGTTAAACAGATTACGTCTAATGAAGTGTCTAATGCTCAGGCCTATCAGCCTAATCCTGGGCGGCAGCTCATCCCTCCGCTGCCAGAAAAACGCCGCCCTCTGGCCCTCGCTCGCCACTCCGACCGCCAGGCGCAGGGAGGCGCCCAGCCTTAATAAACCCAGACAGTGTGTGATCTGACATGCAAATGTAGGTCATTGCATATGTAAATGTGTGATTACGCGCCTGCATGCCAAAACACATTAGCCAGCCTCCGCGCTCAGCATGCGCTCGTCGCAGCGCCTCAGCAGCCCCCGCGCCGGTTTGTCAGTTACCGCGCGGACGGTGGACGGGGTCCGGGCAGGCCTGAAGGGCGTGCGGGGGTTGCGTGGTAGCGTCCCCCATGAGGAAGCCGCGTGTCACCCCGGAGACCCACAGGTTTTCATCCGGAGGAGGAGCGGTCTAGATGTTTGGAAGAGAGGAAGGAAACCCACCTCTTCGATGTTGCAGTCTGTCCTAGTGTGTAAATTTAAAAGAAGGAAATTTGTTAGAAAAGCATGGACAATTGAAAATCTGTCCTCCTCAAGTGAAATGAAGTTATGAAAGCTAGAGGTTATGAGCGTTTATAAGTTTCGTTTGTTAAGTAGGTGACAATTGCCTGGTAACTCAGCTGGTAAAGAATCCACCTGCAATGCAGGAGACCGTGGTTTGATTCCTGGATCGGGACGATCCACTGGAGAAGGGATAGGCTACTCACTCTGGTATTCTTGGGCTTCCTTTGTGGCTCAGCTGGTAAAGAATCCGCCCGCAGTGTGGGACACCTGGGTTTGATCCCTGGGTTGGGAAGACCCCCTGGAGAAGGGAAAGGCCACCCACTCCAGTGTTCTGGCCTGGAGAATTCCATGGACTGTAGTCCATGGGGTCACAAAGAGTCTGCCAGGACTGAGCGACTTCCACTTCACTTTACAGTGACAGTTATAAATTCATCTCAGTGACCACAAAAAGAAATCTTATACTTGAACAGTGTGGCAAGTAGTCTCCCTTTATTTTATGATTTCGTTCCTGTTTTTTATTTTCAGTTTTGGTATGTGTGTTTCTAGTCCCATTTCTGTTTTTTCATCAAAAGGTCTAAAATTGAAAATACTGTGGATCATGATAGGGTGCCGTAATACCTACTACATTGTAGGTGGCTGTTTGGTAACCCCAGAGGGTGGCTAAGCCTGTGCTTGGGAACTGGGGCTTGGGCATCAGCTAGCCATGGATCTGGTGTGATAACATCTGCCTGATAGGATCCTCATGAGAATTGAATTAAATAGCATGAAAAGTACTGATTTTTAGGACCTGTTACATTATAGGTACCCAAATGGAACCTTTTTTTTTTTAATTGTGGCAGTGTTATTATTCTATTCTGACATTTATGGTTTATATTCACATAACGAATTTGGGGTCGGGAAAACCCCCGGGAGAAGGGAATAACACCCCACTCCTGTATTCTTCCCTGAGAAAGCCCATGGACAGAGGAGCCTGGTGGACTACAGTCCATGGGGCCACGGAGAGCTGGACACAGCTGAGTGACTGAGCATGCGCGCAAGCACTCTGATTATGGATGTAGGCTGTTATCCATCGTCCACACCCATAGAGTGTGCTGGCAAAGACTGAGGGTGGGAGGAGAAGGGGCGACAGAGGATGAGGTGGTTGGATGATGGCATCACCGACTCAGTGGACATGAGTTTGAGCACGCTCTGCAAGTTGGTGATGGACAGGGAAGCCTGGCGTGCTGCAGTCCATGGGGTCGCAAAGAGTTGGACACGACCGAGTGGCTGAACTGAATTGATAGAATGTACAGCAGCAAGGGTGAAGCCCAGTGTTAACCATGGACTTTGGGTGATGGTGATGTGTCAGTGGAGCTTCATCAGTGGTGACCAGGGTCCAGCTCTGATGGGGTGTTGATAATGAGAAAAGCAGTGCCTGGGCTGAGTGGGGGTGTACCGGGAACCTCTCTACCTTCCTCTTAATATTCTGCTTTTAAAAAATTAGGTCTTAAAAAAAAAAGTAATGATGAGGTGGTAGACTCGCTGCCCCTGGAATTGTTCTTTGCAGAAGTTAAGTATCATCAGGAAGTTTAGAAAGTTTTCATGTTTGGCAGGTTGGACTAAGTGAATGTGTGTGTGTGTGTGTGTGTGTGTGTGTGCATGTGTGTGTGTGTTTATTTTTATATAATATGAATAGTTTGATAAATACCTGTCAAACAAGCGACTGTCTGCAGGTTTACCATAGAAATCACCTACTTATGTGAAGACAATCGACAGTTGTATGCATATTGTGTGATTGAAAACTTTTCTGACTTTTTTAATTACAGAAGGCCTTACGACCGGATATGGGCTATAATACGTTAGCCAACTTTCGAATAGAGAAGAAAATTGGTCGCGGGCAATTTAGCGAAGTTTATAGGGCTGCCTGTCTCTTGGATGGAGTACCAGTAGCTTTAAAAAAAGTACAGGTAAGATGACTTTAATTCTATAAATCCATGTAAAATTATACTCTGTGAGTAATAAATGGAGAAAAGTATGTCCTGAACGATTGGGTCATGACAGTCTTGAGTTGAGAATGAGAAAGAATAAAAATTGTCCTGTAAACGCTTGCATGAAGTGTCGTGTATGGTGGAAATCCCTTTTTAGTTGTAATGCTGCTTTTAAAATTGAGCTGGCTCTGCTCACCCGGGTTCAGTCGTGACTGGAATGATCTTAGAAAAGCTTTCACAGCTCTCGGTTTTAAGAGGCAGATTGGAGTTGTCACCATGCATTCTAGCAGGGCGTGTGGCTGCACGTCGTAGCCTCAGCTGCAGGCCTCGGGCAAGGAGACCGGGCTCATGGAACGCACCGCCTGAAGCCAGGACTCGGCGGGCATGCTCTGGGGCGGGGCTCCGTGCTAGGGGAGAACCAGCCTGGCAATGAAAGAAAGAAAACCACGGTGAACTTTATTTACCGGAGGAGAGGGGAAAGTGAAATAGGTGAACGTAGGGGATTGCTGTCCTACTTACATGCCCATGCTATGTTGGCATCGGCCCTGCCCTCCAGCCCTGGCTGTGTGCAGGCTCCTTGGTCTGCCCGGCTCCCCTGGCCCAGCCCGGCCCCGATGGGCCCGCTGCCGCTGGTCTGGAATGCTCTCGCCTTTCTGCCTCAGAGTGTGTTTCATGTCGTGCAGTCTAACTTCTCTTTTCAGGGAGAAGGTTGTTCTTGTTCACACTCGCCTGTAGACTTCCCGTTTTACTCTGCTACCTGGTGTCTTTTTCTCTGTCCTCTTCCTCTCACTATTTAATTTCATGAAGGATCAGTGTCCTTGTGACAGCCATCACGAGCAGAGGGGAACAGTTTTCCCTTGTACAGTAAATATTTATGAAAGCATTTACAGGACACGTGTCAGAGGTCAGGACTGAAGCAGATGCCCTCATGCCCACCACGTGGCTCAGATGCATCTGTCACTCCCTTCCCTCGCAGTCACCATGTCCTGAGTTTTCTCTGGATCATTCCTTTGCTTTTCTCTAGAGTTTTCTCCATACCTGTATAAATTCTGAATGAATCTGCTGTTTGCTTTTGCATTTTTGAACTTGCATAAATATTGTCACATGTTGGTGGGTGGCTACGCTTTAATCTTGATACGTACAGTATTCAGCGTGTGGATATTCATGTATGTGTGCAGTGTTACATGTTGTGTGTGTGTAGTACCCTGTTCTTATCACGTGCTGCTAGTTTTGGCTGTATGCGGCTGTTTGTTGCTGTAGCATTTCTGCCATGCTCATGTCGCGTCCTGTGTGTCTCCCGGCGCACACATGCAGAAATCTCCCTTGTGTGTGTGCCTGAGACGGAGGCGCTGGGCCTTGCTCTCTGCTTTGTCGTGTTGCAGCTGGGAATTCTTCTAGTTTAAGCTTAACTCCCTATATATGCAAGAGAGAAATGATGCTGTGGAGATATTCTTAGCTCATATAATTAGGGAACGGTTATCTTAAACCTTTACAGGAAGAAGTATATTTGCGTTTCAGACATGTTGATTTTTGTGATATATTATATTCGTGCTGAACTAGAGAGACCAGGGTTCTTCCTTTTTAATAAAAGCCACCTCTGCAGCTTAGTATGAAAGTGTTTTAAAATACCGTTGACCAGACTCCTTTCCTGTCTGAAGCATCCCAGCCTCTCTTGAGAAACGTCACCAGGAAGCAGACATTGGATTCCTCCTGCAGTCTGTTATTGTAAGGCTTCTTTCTGGCCTGAAGGGCTGCGTCACTGTTTCCAGCTAATCCAGGCCCCTTCCCGGTGGGGTCCTTGCGTTGGAACGTTGCGTCTGTAATTCGGTGCTCTGCTCACAGATATTTCGTGAGACTCTTCAGGAGCAGCGTCCAGGCTCCTCCGTGTAGTTCTCTGGGCGCGTCTGTGCTTTGGCCACGTGTCAGGTTTCAGTCTGCCGTGACCGGCTCGCTGGAAGCCCCAGTGACTTTCCTGGACATGTGCCTGGGACCTGCGTGTGCAAGGGAGGGAGTGTGTGCACCTTCCTTCTCGAGATCATACAGGGATCGGGAGCTTGTGGTGGTGACAGGACTGTCGGGTCTTTTGCAGAATTCGCCCCCCGCCCCCGTCACGGTTTGTTCGCCACCCTTACGGTGCCCCTTAACTGGGGGGCACAGGTGGCCTTGCTGCCCCTGTCTCCCCGCCTCCCTTCTTGCTGCTCCCGCAGTGGGAGCGGGCGTCTGGTGTTCAGTGGTCGGCTCCAAAGGCTCTGAGAACCAAGGTGAACAGAATAACAGGACTCAGGGCTCCCAGTGCAGCTGTAGCCCAGGCCTGCCCGGAGCAGAGAGGGGCCACGCGGGAGCCACCTCCAGGAGCCCAGAGCGAGGGGAGCCTGAGAAAGGCTTCCCAGGGCACTCGGCCTGCGTCTCAGAGCTGCACTTGTGTCGTAAGATGGTAGCCAGTTGTTTTGCTCTGGTCCAGGTGATCTCTCTTTAATTATACTCAGCTCATCCATCGTTGGGTTGTTAATTCTTGTCTGACTCTCTGCGACCCTGTGGGCTGTAGCTCACCAGGTTCCTCTTGTCTCTGGGACTCTCCAGGCAAGAATACTGGAGTGAGTTGCCATGCCCTCCTCCAGGGGATCTTCCCAACCCAGGCATTAACCTGGGTCTTCCGCATTGCAGGCAGATTCTTTACCATCTGAACCACCAGGGATGCCCCATATTTGCTTATATTTAATAGCTATTTTAAAGCATTCATCAAGAAAATCAGTTGCAAGTCAAATTTTCCATAATTTAAGCTTTAAAAAAGCTATCCCTTTTTAAAGCATATTAATGCCTTTTTACCTGTGTTAATTTTTGATACTACATTCTGTATATTTTGCATGCAGTCATGATTGCATTAGGATTTTCATGCATTTAAAAATTTATGGATAGTAGTTTCTTTTCTAATGCATGAAGTGATTTTAACATATCTCTAACCCGTTATGGCCATATATGCAGTCTCTTTTTCAGAGTTCACTGTGATTATGGAATTCATCCCAGTTAAATATCTGGCTCCATCTCTGTCCCTTGTCTTCCAGTCTGCAGGACCTTTTTTCTCTTATGTGTGTTCTCAGCCCCTCACTCCTATTTTGCTGTGCCCCCTCCCAGCACCGCGTTGTCTCTGCCGAGACCAGGAATCCTGGTTTCTCCCCATGCCAGCCCCCAGCCCCTGGTCGCTCCGCTCTCAGTCGCGTCCCGGCCCTCACTGCGCTCAGGGAGTTCTGTCTCAGCCGTCCACATCCCCTCTCCTGTCTGCCTCATGCTCTCTTCCCACCAGACTTTGTCTCTGACTTCATCCTGACCACGGCACACTGGCCCACATCCCCTAGACCTCTTACTTCAGGTCTGACCTCAGTTGTCTGCTTATGTTACTTGGACCTTTGTCAGCTATGAGAGCAACGTGGATGTTTCCATTTCAGAATCGTCCCGTCTTGCTCAGCCCCGGGCAGGGTTTCTCTTTGCTGCATGTTTTCCGCTTTCATCAGGAGTCCCTGTTCCATGCCTACAGCCCCGAGGGGCGCTGCTCACCTCTCTCGGGAGATGCACTGTCTTACACGTCCTACTTGGATGCATTTTAGCCACAGGATAAGCAGAACTCAAACCAGCAGGCATGCATGACTACAGTGCTGGCAGTGGAAGCGCCTTGGCCTGGCCGCGTGCCATCACGCTCAGCGGAAAGTGCCCACCCTGCCACGTGCTTTCCCACCGCTGGCCGCGTCACTCCCCTTCCCCCTGCCTGTGCTGGGGGGCGGGGCTTTCTCTTCTGTCCCTGTTGTTCCCTCCTCCCCGCAGTCTCACCGCTTGCCATCGACGTCCCGTGGCCGCTGCCGCTCCAGCGCCCTCTTCTTCTCCCTGCACGGGCTCGGGTCCCCCTCTCCCTGGGGCCCCCTTCTCCTTCCTTCCATGGCGCCTCCTCCCCGCTTGCCTTTCCGGGCAGGTCTCACCCTCAGGTTTTGGCTGCTTCGCAGCTGCTGGGCCACCTTCCCTGACCTCTGAACGGTGGCTTCTGAGCCCCTGGAAGCCCTGGCTAAACTTGGCTGAGCGTCAGGCTGAAGCAAAGCATGGATTTCCGTGGTACCTCTCCCACGCTTTCTGGTTTTAAGGACGTGGGGCTTGTGGTGCTCCAGGAGGCGGATCACTGTGGGCTGAGCAGTTAGAAGGTGTCCCCTTGGAAACAGGGGTTTCTGGTTTTTAGTAAAGGACGCACAGACAGGTATCCCGTTCCATGCCGTCGTTTGCCAGGACCTTAAGGAGGCCACGAGGAAGCGCTGAGGCCTGTCTCTGATGTGCCCTTGGGACGTGCAGGCGCCTGCAGAGAGGGGGCCGGGCCCTGGGGAGCGCCCGCGCCCGCTGGCCGCATCTCCGCCCCGCCAGCCCCCGCAGCCCTGGGGCCTGTGTGTGGAGCGGGGATTCTCCTTTCTGCCCTTCTCCCCCGGGGTTTCCTCCTCCCCCGCATCTTCCAGCCTTCAGACACGGGGACGGTCTCCCTGCCCTCGGCCAGGCCGGGTGGGCGAAGGAGGCGGGCCTGGACCCCACTGCGGCCGGGGCTGCGAGGAGGGGAACCGGGCGGAAGGGGGACCGTGGGGGCGGGTGGGGGACCCCACGGAGAACAGGCCTCGGCCGGGGGTGAGCCATTCATTCAGGCCCCGTGGGCCCCGGACTCCTGGCTAGGATTCCATTTATGCGAGATTCAGACACTTTGTCACTCTCTCAGTGTTATCTTCAAGTACTTTCTTTACTACATTCTAAGTGTTGTTTCTTCTGATAGATGCCCTTTCAAGGACATTTGTGTTAAGTCACTTGAAGGCCTTTTTCTTCCTGAAGATATAGGTGTTACCATTTTCAATTTAATTAGTTGTAAATAATTCTGGCAAAATTTAAAGATGACAAAAGAAAACTTTTAAAATGATCCCTAGAATACCAAGAGCTTATCAGCCAATCACTTACCTAAACACTGCTTTGCTCTTCTCAAATATAAATTTAAAAACCCACAGAAACTTGGATAGATAGTGAAGATGCTTTCTAGAGACAACCCTGTAAACAGTTTGTGAGAATCCAGATATTTTTTTCCCCCATATCTGTTTGTCTTTTCTTGCTCATGGAATCAGGTTTGAATCTATGTCTGGAAATGATTTAAGCTAAAGATACAGTTTTCATTTTTGTCTTGAAATGCTGCCTAAGAGAAAAAGGAAGATAAAATTTTTTTGAATTTCCAGTGAAATGTTATCTATGGCTCAGAGTGTAGTTTTGCCTTAAATGTGCCAGCAAAACTTCATTCCTCACTGTTTGGATGTCACTTTTGGTACTGAGAATTCAGTTAAAGATAGTTTAATTTGTAGTTCTGAATTAGTTTAATGATAAGTGTTTTTGAAAATATGTAGCCATGTGAGACAGTTTTGATTGGAGTCTAGTTGTTTTATGTTGTTGTGCCGGTTTCTGCTGTACAGTAAAGTGAATCGGCCACATGTGCACACACACCCTCTCTCTCGGACTCCTTCCCGTCGGCCCCTGCAGGGCAGAGCGGGGGCCCCGGGGGCATGCAGTGGGTCCTCGGTGGTGCTGCTTTATGCGAGGCGCTGTGTACACGTCCGTCCCCATCTCCCCGTTCCCCCCGCCCCCTCCCCGCTTTCCCCCGTGGTATCCGTTCGTCTGTTCTCTGCGTCTCTGTCTCTATTTCTGCTTCGTAAATGAGATTGTCTATACCAGTTTTTTCAGATTCCACACACATGTGTTAACATATGACGCTTGTTTTTACTGTTAATTTTCCACATGCTTGGAACATTGAGAGATTTCTTTGTATATTTTAAAGCACTTTGTGTTATGTATGAAATATGTAGCTGTTTTCTTTTCCCATTTTTAATACTGACTGCCTCTGGAGGGAAAAACGTATACCCTCTAGTAGTAATGTGAGATAAATTACCTGTTGATCTCCATAGCTCCTAAATGCTAACTGGAAAGTACACTTATAAATGCGTGTGTAATTATGTGTAGAGTATTACAATGGACTTACATGGTAGTTTGAGCCGTGGATTACTGTTTTCTTCAGTAATACTGATATTTATTTTTAGATATTCGATTTAATGGATGCCAAAGCACGTGCTGATTGTATCAAAGAAATAGATCTCCTTAAGGTAAGTAACAAATGAACTGTTGACTGTTTTGAACATTAACTGAGTGGGTTGATAAAAGTGATTTATTAAGATTTCACACTTAAAAGGAAAATAGTTTTTGAGATGTAGCTTATGCCACACTGATTTCAAATAATGTATAAATTTGAAATCAGCGTATTGAAGAATGCAGTTACCTTTTGGATTCACTGTACACTAATTTAATTGGAATGTTTGGTAGGATTAACTCCCTCCCCCATTTCAAACTAGAAATAAGACATAAATATAAAACATGGAAGAAATTTTTTTCTTGACCATCCCAATTAGACATATTCTAAATGTTAGATAATGTAAATGCATATTTGGTGTGGTATATTGAGAATGTGAGCTGATCCAAGTGGTTCACATTTAAAAAATAATATTTCTGTATCTTTTTTCCAGATGTCGAAAGGCTGATGTAAAGAGTTATGTCAGTTTCTTGCCCACTCAGAGAATAGGTCTGAGGTTTGAGTTACCCTCACACTGCATTTGTTATAGTAAAATTTCTTTTGAGGAATGCTGTGGCTTATGTTGGAGAAGGCAGTGGCACCCCACTCCAGTACCCTTGCCTGGAAAATCCCATGGACGGAGGAGCCTGGTAGGCTGCAGTCCACGGGGTCACTAAGAGTCAGACACAACTGATCGACTTCACTTTCACTTTTCACTTTCATGCATTGGAGAAGGAAATGGCAACCCACTCCAGTGTTCTTGCCTGGAGAATCCCAGGGACGGGGGAGCCTGGTGGGCTGCCGTCTATGGGGTCACACAGTTGGACAGGACTGAAGTGACTTAGCAGCAGTGGCTTATGTTGTATTTTTAACTTTCGGATAAAGCTTGGATGATATTTATGCTGTCCATTTTCGTTTGTGCCCAAAATGAATCAGATTTATTAAAAAAGATAAAAGCTCAAAATAAGCCATGCTTCCCACTGTTCTATTTATTGTAGTTATTTCCTGGGACAAGAAGTGACTGCTTTAACAAACCTTTGTTAGAGAAATAATGTATCATCACAGAGAATGTGGGAGGAAAACCTATCTTCTATAAGTAGGAAGAAGAGAAGAAGAGCCTGTGATTACTCTGGGATAATTCTTGAATAATTTTCTTTGAGAAATGATTTGTCTTATATTACCTTGCTTAAAGATCAAATGAAAAGATTGTTAGAAATGATTGTAAATATGTGTAGACTAATGCATATATTTCTACAAGGGAATTTTTTAAAGATAATTTAATAATCAACGCCACAGATAGGTTCAGAATATTTGTAGTATTTGATATAAAGGCAATATTTAGATATAGTATATGTCAGATTTTTATCACTGGCTGAAGTTATACTAGGATCAGCCTTAACTTCAAAATAGTAAAAAGGGAAAGTGCACTCACCATTGAGTGCCTTTAATGACAGTTATCATTTAGAAGGATATCATTTTTAACAATTGGCTATTTAGTTTGGTTATTCATTTATATGCATAGTTTATATATTTGTTGGGCATAGCAATACTTTTAAAAATTTCAGGTGTATAACATACTGTATGGTTTCTAAGAATATTACTAAAAAATAATTGTTGTATAGCTTTACTTTCAATAATTATAATACTTATTTCAAAATTCACTAGATGAAAGAAAAATACAGTCATGTTAAGATTTCTATAACTTAAAAATGAAATGCAATAACTAATTTTATTCTTCAGTTACAAAACTGTAAGTGACTCTTGGGAATTTATAGTAAGAAAACTTCTTGATGCCATTTTTTTTTTCCTCAGCAACTCAACCATCCAAATGTAATTAAATATTATGCATCATTCATTGAAGATAATGAACTGAACATAGTTTTGGAATTAGCTGATGCTGGTGATCTATCCAGAATGATAAAGGTAAGGTTTTTTGTTTTATTAAGAACAAAAAGCTAAAGATTTACTTTTTTCTGAGAGTTGTATGTTGCGCACATAGGCACATCGGATACTTGAAAGACCTCACCACGGTGCTTGACGTGTGGTAGCCATGTAACAAGTGGTAGGCCATGGTGATGGTTGTGATTATGAAGCTGGGGACCTGGTGAAGTGGTCCCCTGGGATGGATGAACACCCCAGAACCAACTTGGAAACAGACCGAGGGTGTGTTGTGTATCAGCTGAAGGTACAGCTCTGCAGCTTGGCTTCTCCACGCAGATCACCCTCCGTCCCGCGTGTCTGGGCATCAGGCTGAGGGGCAGGCGGGGACTGTGGAGCAGCCTGGCCAGGCCGCCCCTGCTCTTGGGAGGGTCATGGTCAAGAGGAGAGCGGGCCTCGCGCTCAGTCTTGCGTGTCCCACCCTGATTTGACCTCTGAGAAGTCATTTAACTTTCTTTTCTGGAAGTTAAAGTGTTGGTCGCTGAGTGGTGTCTGACTCTTTTGCAACCCTGTGGACTTATAGCCCGCCAGGCTCCTCTGTCCGTGGGATTCTCCAGGCAAGTTGTCATTTCCTTCTCCAGGGGATCTTCCCCACCCAGGGATTGAACCTGGGTTTCCCACCTTGCAGGCAGATTCTTTACCATTTGAGCCACGGGGTTTAAGTTCAGCTACAAGTTACAGAAACTGCCTGATGATAGTAGCCTAAGAACTGGTCATTGCTGGCCTTGGCCCAACTTCGCTTCTGTGCACTGCATTCCCCTGAAACAGACTAATCGTTGATGGGTCGTTTTAAATGATCAGTTAACTTATGCACACACACACACATATATTTGTATGTATGTATGTACACACCGCAGAACTCAGAAGAGTGCCCCCCCATAGGAACACTGTGTCAAAGGAGGCCATTGCTGTATTCTGTGTTATGTGTATTTCCCTGTTGTGTACAATGCCGGGACTGACACGGCAGTTGTGACCTCAGGTTCTCGGGCTGAGACGTGAGGGGAGACAGGCCCTTGATGGCTGTGTCTGTGGACACGTCACCGGGTGCTTGCTGCCACACAGTGTTTTCTGCTTCATGCCGTTGGCCAGAATGTCGTCTTAGGAACACGTGTAGGTGCAGGGAGGCTGGCCCGCGTGCTCTTCATTTGCGAGCTAACCTTCTCTTACTCTGCAAGCTGAGCTGAGTGGTGCAGAAATCAGCCAAGGCGAACAGAATGAGGAGAGGCAGGGCTGTGAGCTCTGAGCCTGCTCCAGCAAAGGACCCACTCCATCACCAGCGTGTGGGCAAGGTTCACGGTCAAGAGGAGGGGGTCTTCACGGTGGATAAGGAGAGGGGCTCGGGTGCGCCCCGATGGGTGGCCGTGGCGTGCTGGAGCCGCCGCTGAGCCTGCTGCAGCCAGGCCTCGGGTGACCAGCTTGCGTGTGTCTAGCTGGCCTCCCCTGGTCAGTCCTAAGCTGGAAGCAGGGGTGGAAACTGGGGAAGCTGTCAGTTACCGAGTCCTGGCCGTCTGGGGCTAATTGTTAACAGGAGTTATTGTTTAGCTTCCTGGATTGTCACTGGAGAGAGCAGTATGACCTCCTGCGAGTCGGACGGAGCAGGCTGGCTTCTCGGGCTGGTTGCTAGAGTGAAGGTTGGCTTCCTGACCAGGTTGCTGCGGATTGTGGTTCAAAGGTCTGTTTTTGTATGTGCTCTGGCCGTTGTCTGTCTGTATACCCAGTCTCTCAGCGGCTACTTGAGCACAACCGGTGGTCTCTGCCACATGGAGTTCTCATAAGGGGGTTTTAAAAACAGTGTTAGGTACTTTGCATGCATTATCTTATTTACAGTGATTTTGGGAGGTAATTTTGACACCTAGAGAAAAGAAGTATCATTATTAGTAAATAGAAGAACTCTGTTGGAAATTAGGTTTGTCTGATGCAAAAATCCAGGTGTTTTCCTTGAGAGGCCCTTAAGAATTTTTGTATCACAAAACTCCTTTGAAAAAATCAGATGAAAACCTTTGACCATCTCTACCTGGAAAATGCTGATGCATACACAGTTTGCATTCCATTCCAAGCCTTCGCAGATGTTCTGATCAAGGTGTTGGTGGATTTGCTAGCAGCGATCCTGCTTTCCAGTGTGAATTTAGCATCAGCCTCTTACACTGTCGTATCACTGAACTTCTTTTAGGCCCAGTTTCCTCATCTGTAAGATGGAGAGTTTTACAATCTCTAAATATAAAACGTCTACATAAAAGGAAGGTAGTGTTCTCATTATCACAGAACGCTATCAAGCTGACTGTCCCATGGTTGGATGACTCACTGCTTTCAGCTTTCTGTTTTAGGGACTTCCCACCCCTGCCACAGAGAGCTAACCACCAACAAAAATGTGTCTTTGCAATTTAATTAACAAAAAAAAGAAATGCAAATACACAAAAGGAAACTCTTAGAAAAGCAGCTGTCTATCAAGATGAGACATATAAAATCAGCTGTAAATGATCCCTCCCAGAGAAGGGGGACCGCGGGGCCCTGTGTGGACGTGGAGTGTTGCAGGCCCCCAGGACTCAGACAGAGACCCACACTGAAGATAAGAAGCTGGATCAACACACGTCTAGAGATAACTGATCCACAGGCACGAAGCACATCAACCGGGAAGGGAGGGTAAAATTCTTTGCTTGAACCTTTAGGTGTAAGAGTTAATTTAATTACTTACAGGGGGAAGGAAAGTGGGCACGTCCTTATTGGGCAAATACCTGCTGAAGCAGATAGAAGAACCAGCATTTCAGTTGGAGTCTCACCCTAGACTCAGTGCTCGATGACTGGGGGGTTTTTAGAGTCTGCGTTCTTGTTCTGGCTGCTTTTCTTCCTTCGCTGCTCTTCCTTCACATGTCAAGGCTGCCGCTCCTGGCCTGGTGCCAAGGCGTGCCTGAGCCTGTAACATTCACTTTGGGAGAATACTCCGGTCCACCAACCACTCGAGAAAACCAGCTCTAGACCGGAGGACCTTAACAGAAGCACTGTTAACCTCTGCCATCAGCAGACTCGGTTTCTCTGGCCAGGTGAAGAAGGAAAAATCTGTCAGTGTGAACTTACATTTATTGTGGTGATGAACTCAGCTCCGTGTTTAAACAGACTTGTCATAAGTTGACATTATCAAGAAAATTTTTAAGCAGCTGACTCAGTGGATCTGGTAAGATAGATTGAGAACAGAATTCTGTTTGGCAATGAGTAGTAACTTAACCATTTATAGAATTGACAGCTGGACCCTTAAAGCATCCATCATGGAGAAGAGGATTTCGGAAACTTTTTAAAAGAAAAAAAAAACTTAAAAAAAAAAACTTTTTAGAAAGTATCAACTGATTCCTAGTAAGACGCTTACAGAGCCACTTAGCGTGCTCTGGTAGAAGACTGAAGCGGTTCTTCTTTAAAGGGTTAAAGGGCTAGCACCGTCACCCCTGCTTCCTCCCTCATGGGCTCCTCTGTGCCAGCCTGTCCTGGTCTTGTCCTTCATCAGAGCCGCCCTCAGCTTGCCTGTCAAGGTAGAAGGTGCTCTGGTCCCGGTTTTCCAGGTCCTCTCGGGGCCCTTCTAAGGCTGAGAGTCCTATTATCAAATCTAGATCAGACGGTACTCTCAGTGTAATGGCCTTAACAGAAAGCTTGCCCAGTGTGCAGAATGGAAAGTTTGACTGCGCAGTTTCACATGGGTGGAATGTGTTCACATCCTGATTACAGTCCTGGAAGTCTTTTGCGGGATGATATTTCAGACCTGATCAAATGCCTGGTTGTATTGGGATGATATGTCACACCTGATCAAATGCCAGTTGTATTGGGATGATATTTCAGACCTGAACAAAATGCCTAGTTGTATTGGGAAGGAGTAATTTATTAACTTGGGAGAATCTAACCTGTGGGATCTCCCCAGGTCCTTCAGCAAATAAAATCACTCTGATTATGGATTGTTGCATTTCACTTGAACACCGAGTTGTGACTTTTCTTTTCATTTGACTTAGTAAGGTTATGGTTTATTTATTTATTTTTTAATATATAATGTCTCATTAGTTTTCTCAAGTGGTGAAGATCCTTAACTTTCTGCCCTATGTTCTCATCTCTCAGTTTAACCGCTGACTTTTATGTGTATAAAACCTTTGCAACTTTATATTGTATCATTACAGTTCAGTTCAGTTGCTCAGTCATGTCCAACTCTCTGCAACCCCATGGATTGCAGCATGCCAGGCTTATCTTTCCATCACCAACTCCCGAATCTTGCTCTCAAACTTATGTCCATCGAGTCAGTGACGCCATCTGACCATCTCATCCTCTGTCGTCCCCTTTTTCTTCTGCCTTCGATCTTGCCCAGCATCAGGGTCTTTTCAAACGAGTCAGTTCTTCGCATCAGTTGGCCAAAGAATTGGAGTTTCAGCTTCAGCATTAGTCCTTCCAATGAACACCCAGGACTGATCTCCTTTAGGATGGACTGGTTGGATCTCCTCACAGTCCAAGGGACTCTCAAGAGTCTTCTTCAACACCACAGTTCAAAATCACCAATTCTTCAGCGCTCAGCTTTCTTTATAGTCCAACTCTCACATCCATACATGACTACTGGAAAAACTATAGCTTTGACTAGATAACCTTTGTTGGCAAAGTGTCTAGGTTGGTCATAGCTTTTCTTCCAAGGAGTAAGCGTCTTTTAATTTCATGGCTGCAGTCACCATCTGCAGTGATTTTGGAGCCCTCCAAAAAAAAAGTCAGCCACTGTTTCCACTGTTTCCCCATCTATTTGCCATGAAGTGATGGGACTGGATGCCGTGATTTTAGTTTTTTGAATGTTGACTTTTAAGCCAACTATTTCATTCTCCTCTTTCACTTTCATGAAGAGGCTCTTTAGTTCTTCTTCACTTTCTGCCATAAGGGTGGTGTCATCTGCATATCTGAAGTTATTGACATTTCTCCCAGCAATCTTGATTTCAGTTTGTGCTTCATCCAGCCAGGCATTTCGCATGATATAT